AGCACCTTGAAGCAATGAGCACTGCACATGCACGAAGTCTTGTCTTGGAGAGATTTGTGCAGTGGATACAGAAGCTGTTCAGATTGGACTTGGTTAGGAAGCAAAGTGCTTCAGGGTCTTGCTGAGCTGGCCACTTTGTAGGCCCTTCAGAAGGGCACTGCTCATGTCCTTGGGTTTTTTCCAGAAATGTTGAGTCTAAACTAACAGTATGGTGCCATTGGCAGCAGTTTCAGCAGGTCACGGAAGCAGGGTGATGAAGTAAGACCCACGCCCAGGTAAAGGCCACTTGCCGAAGAGCTGGTGTCTAGGCTGCAGGCTTTGTCAGGACTAATTTTTGGGACCAGGACCTCCTTCCTCCTGGGCTGGCTCGCTGTGTCAGCTGGTCTTCCTCTCCAGAGCGGAGGAGTCTGTGTGTGAAGTTGCCTGGTGACAATTCCAGCAGCCCTGTTGGTGTTCAGATAGCAGTTGGGGGACATCAGCACCTACTTAATGATGCATTTAACAGCTGATAGCTCTTGAAGCGTTGTCCCCAAAGCGTGATGCTTTTGGTGTTTTTGTTTGTCTGAGGTCTTTTGAGTTACTCTTTGCAACTGTGAAGGTTAGAATTCTGTTGCTGTAAACATGAAAGTTGTGATTCTGTTGTAGTAAGAGCTGTGTTCAGAGCAGAGGCCCTTAGCGTCTCTGCTGCTGCTGACCCTGGCGATGGTGGGTGGCTTTTCGGTGACTGCTGAGCAGGGAAACAACGTACGGTGAAAGTGTGGTAAGGTACCTGTAAGCAGGCAGTGAAAACTTCCCAGCAGCCAAATGATTGTCCATAGCCAAGAAAAACTAATGCTCAGAGTAGTGACTCTTCCAGGTGGCGTTTCCTCGGGATTTGCTTAGGGTTGGAAGTGTCACGCCTGGGCTTATTCCCAGATCTACAGAGCCCTGTGGAGAGACTGGAACTGCTGATGACCACCCTGCCCAGTCTCCTAACTGTCGTCCACCTGGAGGCTTTGAATTTGGTGGTATTTGGAGGAGCTCAGCACTTCTGAAAATCAGTTTACAAATTTGTCCCTTTTCCTGTCTGTGAGTGGGCTTATTTAAGTGCTGTGGTGTGGGAGGGTGATCCCAAATTCATGATTTGTAAATGGCTTTGTAGTTCTTAGTGTATTACATTTGATGGCCTAGGTTTACTCCCAGTGCCCAGGTGCTGTAGAGGCCGTGCTGTGTCTGCTTCAGGGGCAGGGGCAGGTTACCTTTGTGTGTTGGCAGCAGT